ACTTTATCAACTAGTATATTTTTATATCTGAAACTACATTAATCAGATAATTTGAGCTACTAATCCTTCATTTGAAATATCTTAATCTTGTGACATTTAAAACAAAAACAGGTACTTATATTAATTATTTATTGAGCTAATGTTCAGTATTTTCTTTACATTAGTTTTAGAATAAATAAAATGTACCTTTCCAAATTCTGAGTACAAGTGTGAAGTTCTTGTTGAAGATAAATTTCACAACTGTTCACAATGGTTTGATCTGCTGCTTGCACCATGCTTCTCAATAAAAGTATAAAATGAATCAAGGAAATCTTCTGTTCCCAAAAACTTCATTAAATAAAATTTTAAAGTAAGATACTTTTGTCATATGAATGGTTTTGAAACTAAATTTAAATAAAGAACTAATTATTTAATAATTAAAAGTATGTTAAAAGCATAATCCAATTTAACTACTAAATTAAACTTTTCTTCAGAATCAATCTCCAATTACCAATCTTTTAATCAAATCTCTTTTTATAATATAAAAGTGTGTCCTTAAAGCATTTATAATTTGTTTCAATTTAAACCTGAAGTTATATACCTGCATTAACTTTTACAATTGTTCATGTCCTTATTTTAGTATGTTTAACACAGAAATTGCTGCAATAGAGAAAGATCTTTTATCAATGTATTATACATATTACACAACTTGATGAACTCTCATTCACTAAACATGTAATACAGTTTAGTGAAGTTTGATGATGTTCGTGAATTCGTGTCACAGTTATTACGGAGAATCGTGTTTTTCAAGCAAACAAAATGTGGTTACATTGATCACACTATTCTCAGTTCTTTTTGATTTGACTAAATGTATACTATTTCATGATATTACCAAGTTGAGATACATCCTAAAAAGTAGCATTATTTCGGGAAGTATAATGGACATCTTTATCCAAAGCATTCTGACTTAAAAATCGAATTTAAAATTATACCATTATCACAACATCAAGGGACAAAACACAAGTTAAAACTGCAAAGAGGCTACTCATTAGATTTTTTAAAAATATGAGACCTCGACTTGAATGCTTCATTCAACATCGAGAATCTATATGAGAAGCTTTTTACTATAGACTTTTTCAGGTTGTATATAAATCTTATAATTTATTGTACTCCTAATCCTATTGACTAATGTTTAGTTCTGTGTAGTGACAGAAATAGCATGTACTTTAAATCATTTTTTATGTATTATGTATGTAATATTACAAAATCATAGTTTCTTAAGAACTTTGTTACTTACCAAGTTTATATAGCCTCACCTCAATAAATAACTGAACCCATTAATAACCACAGAGTATTAATATTTAAATAAGAGTTGATCACCTTCACACTTTCATAGGTTATAAAATGACTAAAAAATTAATTCATGTTATGAAAATAATGAATGAATCCAGCGCTTCATTAATCAGTCTATGGTTTCATTTTGACAACATTCTCCAATGTCAAGTTATTCTTCATAAACACAGGAACTCTTAGTTTCAAAGTACACTTCAATATTAATAGGAAAGGCCATATTCTGTGGAATTTAAAAATGAAAATCAAATCTATAAAAAAAAAAGCAAACAGACATAGTTACATTTACAGAAGGTTTCCTCTTGCTTTAGTACAGATTAGATAGTACACATATTTTAAACCCTAAACTCTTATTTTGCATGGGTTAGGTCCATTGGACCAAGCCAGTGTTGAAATATAAATTTTAAATTTAAATCCTTCAATTCCAAAGTTACTTAATGTATCTTCACAAAATATGGTAAGTTTTAGTAAAGTATTTTATCTGTTACTTTCTCTGCCCTAATACTATACAGGTTTGATCCATTTGCCTGACCTTGTAACTACCACAAAAAAAATATTCAAGAATGACAGCAGTTTGTAAGTTTACATCTGTTTTAATTTAATTTTGTTGTTTTATTGCTCTTTGAAACATGTTTAACTACTAAACCTGTGTAACCAAACAAGAGATCTCCCAGCAATAGAATAGCTGAAATTACAGTAAATAAAACATCGAATTACATGTAAACAAACAGCTCCTGTGCATTCCTTGCAGAAAAATTTTATGTAATTTTTTTTCTCATTTAATGTTTCCTATCCAACTTAAGTTTCTAATTTTTACATTTTAGTTTCATTCTTAAATAACAATAAATAACAAATGTACATAAAAAACAAGAAATTTAATACTTACATGTGGGCCTTCTGCTTTTTGTTTGCATCCGAAGTCTCAATGAAAGTTAACCATAATTTTTATACAGGTATTGTTAGTACCTTTCTGAATTATTTATTTATTTCAAATATTCTGCTTAGAACACAAAATAATAAGATGCACAGAGAATATAATGTCCTATAACTATTATAATTTAACTAGCTTTCTATGTACACTAAAACTGTATCTGTAGGCCAAATAATTCAAAAGCTGTTGTCAGAATGAGATAGCATTACACGTAATTTAGTAAATTAAAATCTTCTCTTCCTGTTGCTTATAAATAATGTAATAGCAAACATCAGAGAATTATTGACATTTTTAGAAATACAGTATGTGATAGAAGGGCATGGCATGTGGGCTTTCTGATTTATATCTCTGTAAATCAAAGTAATTAGTGGCTATAAATTTACATCATGTCTTGGCAATGTCTGTAACTATATTTGTCTTAAACTCAGATTTTCAAATAAGGGTGGAAATAATGTTTAAATGAGCAATTTGGAGCAAACAAGTGTCATGAGATAAATAGAAGATTGAAAATTCATTTACACATTTCCTTTTGAAATTAACAAATTAAAACACATAATATTAAAATTTGATTTATTAACTACATTTTGATACAATATTTGTTAACATAAATTGATCATAAAGTTGGTTAATTAATTCTGTTAAACATCATGACACTTGCACTTTGACTCAGCCATGTGAATACGGTGAATAAATTTCTAAATAATTTTGATGCAAACTTCACAGTTCATAAAAAAATTATTATCAAATATAAAAATATTTACAATTTCAAGCACTACATAGTAATAAACAACAAATTCTTTTTAAAAATCCCTTTTTTTTCACTTCTAAAGGAGTTTTGCCAGTGTTCAAGTGAAAAGCTACAATATTGGGTGGTTTAAAATTTTGTGGTTTTAACATTTTATACTTTTATAATTTTTGTATAACCACAAAGAACAAATAAAAGGATATGAGAAACACAGGAACTAAAAGGTGGCACAGCAGCTAAAACTGTATGCAGATGTTGAATAAGGAGTTCATTTAAAACACCACACACAGCTCCAAACACTGATGCATAACATTTGGGTTGATTAGCCAGATTCATCAGGTTGCTGTACTCACAAGCATGAAGACACGAAATTGCAGATTGACTACTAAGAAACATCTGTTGATAGAAAATAACAATAATAACAACAAAGCAACACAGACAAGTATGATTTTAACTGATTATCTAGGCAGTGTATTCATGAAAAAAAAGTAAAAATGAATGCCAACTGCCTCATACATATAGAAATTTACAGAAAGGGTTTTAATAAGGAAGGCTAAGTAGTCTTAACTATGGACATAAAGGTTTGTTGTTTTTTCCCAGAGAGGATACCACCACCAATCAAAAAATATATGATAATTTGGAAAACAAGAGCTTTAACTTTCCAAAGAAATTCATTATTTATCACCAGAAATAATTTACCTTAGATATGTCACATACCATACATCTCTTACACATGCATACATACACACAACAACTATTGAACATCTAGTATACTATACTATTAATTGGTATAATGATCAAATCAAATTATAGTAACAATTACATATAAGCAAGCCTAAAAGAAATGGCATACAGTCAGTCTTGTAACACTACCTTGCCTTTCCATAGTGCTACTGTCATTAAATCCAAAACAGGAAGTAATACTATGCTGAAGTTTGGTGCAGTGCTCATGTAGGCAGTAAGAAACTGTAGTTGAAAAATAACCTAAAAAAATAATAATAATTGTTTTTATTTTCTTTCCTTTTTTCAAAAACATTTTTTTACTATTATAAAAGTGAGTGAATATTAAAAATCACTAAATTTTTTATCACTGTCACTTGTAACTACCTATACATTTCCTATAACCTCATGGATAACAAAACTTAATATGTTTTTATCACAAGATATTATTCAAAAGTTTTATCCACAGGTTAGAAAATGTAAAGCTATTGCTTAAAACCTATAAACCTTTACAAAAACTGATATAAAACATTAGTTATTATTTTTCATAAAGTAAATATAATTCAGACAAGCTCTAATAAATCCATTAAGGTATGGTGTTAGAACTGAAAATATATTTTATGAATTTTATGATTTTTATTAAGTTAAAAATAACATTTCAATGTTACAATGTTTTTGTTACTTAACTTTTGGTTTGTGTGTAAATATTTTTATATCTAATTTTGACTTAAACATGGCTAATTATAGAAAAATATTTATAGATATCTCTTATTTGATGAAATTAAAAACCAAATTCTCAAGCACATGTAAATTTACCCTTCCCATGTTTTTCTTTCATACACTTTGTAGTATTGTTCTCAGAATTCTCTTTGACTGTTAACTTGGAAACATAACAAGTATCCTAAGCTATATCTCACAATCTTGGTGTGGTTCTAGAAACAAGAACCAAATATGATAATGAATGGAAGAAAAATAGCAACATCCAGTTAATAAATCTATTGAAGAATAGCATCTTTACGTTTGTCATTAATTTGTTTTTATTTTTTATTTCTAAAATGGACAAAGCTTGTGTGTATTCAAGACACTACATACTGTCTGAAATACTCTTGAAAGAAGTTTCTGTTGTCCATGTTCCAAGTCCAACTTCAAAAGTAGCTTCCAGATGTGAATCAAACAAGGAATCTTGTCTGATAATTGTTGTTTGCCAAGTATTGTGTTCTGCAACAATATTAGTAAGGATTTTTTATATGGAAAAAGCTCTGTATATCAAAATAAACACTTAAAAAAATGCTTTCAAATGTTGGTAAAATTCATCAATAAAACGTATATCTTTTCTTTACATTTCCAAAATGATAAAATATTAAACTGCAACTTTCAAGTGTACAGTATACTTATAAGATTATATGTGCTTGCCATCCCTAACATTGAACTAACAGACTAAAGGGAAGTCAGCTACTTATCAGTGCTCACCACCAACAGTTAGGCTTTCTTGTTTAATTAAATAATGGGATTTGACCTTCAGTCTTATGATGAAGTTTCATTTCATATGTTCATGTTTTGATATTATAGCCACCACTGTTTTCTCTGTAAAAAGAAACTTAACTTTTAGCTTGCCAGACAAACTCATAAATGGATCTTGTAAAACAACATAAATAAAGAGTTTATTCTATAGAAAAGCTGCTTAACATCTATGTAAATTGAAAGTAGTTTTATGAAAGGGGATATTAAGGAACTGATATGTTCATCTTGGATAGTAAATAATTTTGTCTTTAACAGCAAAAGTTGGAAGATGTACAATTATCTTATGAAAAACTAATTTGCATTTGAAAATGGACCAACTCATTAGTATACCACACTGTGAATCTGAACTTAAACTTCAGGTTGCCAAAAAAACATGCTCCACATTTTGTGGCCATGAGAGCTCAAAACTTACGGATTCCTCCAAAAGATGCTGCAATGCTTTCTCAAATTCATTTTCATTACAAGTTTTAACAATAGAAGATAAAGCTTTGAATTCTATTTCTGGTAAATCCAACACATTTTGGCTAGTCCTCAGTGAATCTTCATAAGAAAAGGTTGTTTCTGAAGAAAAGATAACTGAGTTCAGATCTTTTTTCTGGTCAAGAGCAATTTTCAGTGAATTTTCACCAAAACTGGTTTGAAACAGTCTTGTACTGTTTTGATAATTTTCTGAAGTTGTGTGAATTACAGATTGATTTGTCATCAGGTCAGTGTCTGACTCCAATAAGTGTTGGATTAGGGTATTCCACGTTGATTCCACAAAATGTGTTGGTAACTTATCAATATGCACCTTGTTGGAACAAATGACAATCAACACCTTCAGGCTTGATTTTTTTTGATAAAAATTCTGAAAACAGAAACAAATTAACTTATAAAAAGAAAGTATTTATACTACATGCACTCTTTCTGATTAACTTGTTTTTAAGTTGCCTTTTACCCCTTACTGCAATAGCTCATAAGTTTATGAATTTTTAAGTGCCTTTGTAATTTACATCACCTTCTTATAAGTTGATAAATATTAATGCATTAGTGTTTTTGTTGTTGATGCACATTCTCTTGTATGAATTGTTTGAACGTTTGTATTTCTTTATGTTCACACCTCCTTTGAGTCTTTTCTTTCTTTCTGGGATTGCTTTTTGTAATTTTTTTAGAATAATATGATGGAATTTTGAGAGTAAATTAATGTATTGTGAATTACATTGGAGAGAATAAACACATAAGCAGAAGAACAACTATGAAAAATGATTACATTAAGATTGATCAAATTTTTAAACACTTCTCTTTTCGGTGATCCAATACAGATTTGTAGCAAAAAGACTTAGGTTAGTCAAATTTCTGCTGTGTAATATGTTTTTATAAATAGGTTAATTTGCATTGATGTAAATAAGCTTCTTTACGAATCACTTTAATCAGTTTATTTGCAACTGGTAATACTTACACAAACAGGTTGGTGAAGAGATTCGTAAACCAAATGTAGAACAGCATTAAGATTCTTCTTCCACTTTTTAGCTGAAACTTTTCCTTTGCACGAGAGTTCAACAAGAACACCAAAGCCATCTAAGACCAGTGATTGTATGTGTTCATCTAGCTGACTCCAGTTCTTCAGTGGACAACGATGTAGCCACGTATCTAAAACTGTACTTATTTCTTGCAACATTTTGTTGCAAGTTTCATTTAACTGGGGTTTCATGTGTAACCTTTGAGATACCTATAAATAAAATAATTATTCTACTTAAAAAGTGTTTTCTAAATGCTTCTACTGTTTCTACTTATTCACTAAAATAAAAATATTTATATACAAATATATTTATGTAATTAAAACTCCTAATTGAAAAAAAATATATCTTTTTTGATTTTCAGGATGTTCATCTTCACACTTTTCTATCTATCATGTATAAATTAACAAATGTTCAGATAATATTACTATTCTAATCTTAAAATGTGTACTAAGGATGCTTTCTAGCTTGAAAATATTTAAATAGTGATAGGAAGACAATGCCACAAAGGAAAGATAGCCTCTCAGTAGGGGCAAATGTACAAGAGCAGCAATACTCTAAAATATTAAAACTTCTACAGGGTCCCCGAAAGTGTTCTGTTTCGAGCGTAAATAAAACCAAAATTAAGAGTAACAAATATTTTTATTTCTTGCTTTTGAAGTTCATACGTTATGTTGTAGCCTACAGAGTGCATAAATCTTCTCGTGAATCATGGCATGTACACGTTTTACTGACGTCACGACAGTACAAATAGCAACATCACGCATCCCTTATGTGGCATAATTTTAGTGTCTACTGACTGACTGACAGGCAACACACTACTGTACAGTAGTGCAAGTGGTTAAAACAGGTGACCCATCCAGGTAGCCTTCAGTCCCCTTTTATGGAAATCAGCCGAATGGTAAACTAATGCAAACTGATCATTGGCCCGTGGAGGGCGAGGCATGCTGGCACCCTCAACCAATTGTGAAGCAAATTGCTGAGCATGAACCCTAATATCCGGGGAAGGTGGGTAAACGAAATATGGAGAGGAAGAGCTATTATGGAAAAAAAAGAAGGACAGGGATCATAGGAAATTGGGGAAATGGATAAAACATCATATACCTGAGAAATCATGTCTAAAAATGTGTTATTAGGCCTAGCTGATTCCGCAGGTGGAGTATAGGAAGACACGACAAAATCAAGTGGTGGAAAAAGGCTATCAAAATCTTCATGAGCCTGAACAGGTTCGGCTTGCTCAGGAGGAAGTGGGGCAAGTTCAGGAGAAAGAGGTTGATCCAGATAACGATCAATTTCCCCTCAGATAATCGCAGATAAATCCAACGATGGGTCTCCCCGACCTGTGAAATAGTGCTAGTAGGAGGTATGATACTCAAAGTGGTAACATGAACCTCAGGAAATGAAGTAAAATACTTCTTCAATGAAAAGAAAACGAATTAATGAAGAAATCCCACTTTGGGATTAAACTCACGAATGTGAATCTCATGAAGAGCACCAAAAAACATCTAAATACGAGTACTGCTAAACAAAAAGTGATAGATGAATTGAATAGAGAGAGTCACGTGCATCATGAGAGTATGTCGCACTCTTATTGGTGGAGGGTTGATGATTTGCATGAGAGACGCATTGGAATTAGTCAATTCCAATGTAGGGGAGATAAAAGGCTTGGGGCATATGTGAAAAATGTTTTTGCATATGGAAAGCAGCACTGAAAGAGAACAGCTGTTTATGTGAATGGAGGTAATGTACCATATCAGAAACAAAACACATATAATTATGTTATGTGAAGGACAAAAACAAACTTGATTTGTATATTCTTTTTTCACGACAGGTTAAATTGAAAAGATAATCTTTAACATAATAATAAATATATATATATACACACTCATTAAATACTTGGTCTACTGTATATTCTCATATGATGAATTTGCTGAAATGTCATCATTAATATAGGTAGATATATGGTGAAGTAAAATGGACTCAAAACCCCATAAACACTTATTATATTAACAATATAAGATTAACCTATTCTATTCTATAAGATTAATTATGGATTAACCTCCATAAATGTATCTATTTTGAAAATACAGTTTTGAAAAAATGACTTCAATTAAAGGATCAAAGATTTTATGAAAGCTTTTCACCCAATATATATATTTTGTGATTAAAAAGAATTTTAAAATTAGTATAATTCTTAATTACAAAAAGTTACATATACCTTTAAAGAACCTATCTCACAAGCTTTAAAGTTTGTTATATGCTCTAAACCTGAAATCTAAAAATATATATATATTCATATTATACTTAAAGAATTCACTGTGCAATAACTGTGTAATGTTAAAATGTATACCCTAAAAACAAAAAATCTCTTAAAGCAAACATAAAATGTTTTGCTTCACACTCCTGAGCTAGGGTTAACTTTATTAAGCCTACATTTAAATATGCTGAAGAAGTAATGACTGTTTCTATGTATATGACTATGATAGTCAGAACAATTACATTAATACTCTATTTTTTTTCTTTGATTTTTACACAAAGCAATAATTTTCCAATACTGGTATTTCTTTGTAAATGAAATATTAGATTATTTTGTGATGGACAGATGTTAACATTTTCTTACACTGAAAATGTATTTTCAATAGTTACATAACTCCTCTCACCCAAAGCTATCTCAAACTTTGTTTGCCCTCTAAGCATTGCTAAAAATTTTATCATTAACAGTGCACCAGTCTTTTATAACCCTTCATTTTTGCATCATTGCAAAACATGTGCTGATCATGTGACTACCCTCCAACAATCATACTGGACCATATATATTAGCGCAAGTAGCTCCATTCCAAGACTTAACAGTTACAAACTAGAAATACCAGCACATCAGTGAGGAGGAGGAGGGGAAGGAAGTTGGTGAGCGGAGTTAAGTACCTGTCAGAAATACATTTTCAGTGTAAGAAAATATTAACTTCCAGAACAGTACTACCTCCTCTCACCCAAAACTAAAGTCCCACAATGAAAAGATGGAGTGGCTGATGAAGATGCAATAGTATTCAATCAAGTGGAGAGCGACTGCCTTGAAAGAACAGGTGTGCCATAATAAGAAAATAAGGCACATCTGTGGAGTATGACACTACTTCTGGAACAGGTAAGCTCATCACCTAGTAACAAACACAGTAATACATATAGGGTTGAATGTAATAGGCAGGTACCATGTCAAGTAATACAGCATCAGCCCATTGTCAACAGATAGTGCATAATTCATCCACATATGTAGCAAATTTTAGCATGGGACATTGTGATAGTGATTCATAGTAAGGTGCTTGATAATTATATAGAAGTATACATGACTAAGGTTCTAGGACCATAAGTTGTGTATGAATAGGCCAAGTGCAGTCCACCCAGGCAAAAAACATCCAGGGGAAGCGCCTTGAGAAACGTCAGATTATGCCAAGTGCGGTCCATCTGGGCAAAAACATCCAGTGGAAGCACCTTGCATAAGTTTGCAAGATCAACAAATGTAGTCCACTAGGCAGAAAACAACCAGGGTAAGTGCCTTGGACATATAATATTATGGCCAAGTGTGGTCTGTCCAGGCAAAAACATCCGGGGGAAGCACATTGGGATTTGTTGGATTATCCAGACAGAAAACTTCTAGTGGAAACACCTTGCATAAGATACATAGATCAATAAGAGCAGTGTGCTCTGGCAGAACCCAGGGGGAAGCATCTGGGATTCATGGAATCAGGCCAAGTGTGATCTTCCCAGGCAAAAAACATCCAAAGCAAGTGTCCTGGGATACTATTGAGTATGTCAAGTGCAGTCCATTTGAGTAAAAAACATCCAAAGAAAGTGCCCTGGGATACTATTGAGTATGTCAAGTGCAGTCCATTTGAGTAAAAAACATCCAGTGGAAGCACCTTGCATAAGAAAATTATTTTGTGATCCACAAGTGCAGTCAGCATAGGGAAAAACATCCAGGAGAATTACCTTGGATCCAAAATATTATGTTATTGTATAATCAATAAAGATAATGATGATAGTCCTCTTCTCACTGAGTTATCAGCTATGAAGTTTGATTTAGTTTATTGTACAAACCCCACTCAAGAGTAAACCTCCATGGTTCACCACTCCAGCAACTGGGAACAGGAAGTAGCAAGGACTCCCATGCTCCACTAGAAAAAATAGAGGGGGGAGTCTGGAGGAACGACACACTAGAGACAATGCAATGGGTGTCTGTGATTCCCTATTTTGAAAAGCAGAAAGACCCTGATTGTAAGAATCATGGGTCAGTATGGATGGGCAAAAATCCCTATCTGTTTTACTCATAAAGTCAATGAGTGATGGTCCTTGATATAAAATACAGTAATAATACAAAAAAAAAAAAAATATATATATATATATATATACACACACCACAGGATAAGTGGCTGGCAGTCTTACAGAAACACACCATCTCCACAATGAGCGTTATAGAAATACACAGATGCTAAGATATAATATTCAGCATAACTGATGTATATAAATGGAATAAGATAAAAAATAATAACATGTCAACTTACTCCAGTCAAAGGCGAACGGACATGTGTAGAATTGCCAGAGGAGAAAGACGATACCCAACCGAGGATGACACAGCCTTGTCGTGCAGATAATGTGTGACTAATGTATTGGGAGTTGTCTGCATACCAGCTTGAATGATCTCCTTCAAAGGTCGAAGGATCCGAACAGCTAAAGACATATGACATAGTTGGTGCATTGAAACATTGTGCAGCCATTGACCTTCCATGGACAAGTCAGAATAAGCTAGTCATTTGAGTTGATGAACCCAGCCAGTAAGGGTATTGACGTGAAAGATCACGGGAAACAGAGGGATTCCACAGGATAAATAGGTGAGAACGAGAACCACAAAAAAAGGCAGTACAAGATACATAACAATGCAGGGTATGAACGAGACAGAAATGGGAGAAAGTCGAAACAATCTTCACAGGCAGCAGATGTCTAAGGATTATCAAGATAAAGGAGAAATATGAGGAATGGTAAAAGGTCCAGGAAACATTAATAGCATAAATATCAAAATGACGATGACCGCAAGCCAGGAGGAAAAGGAAATAGGTCTTATGGGAAAGATAATACAAGAAACACGTATCAATGGTTCAAAAGGAGAACCAGACAGGGCATGAAGAACAACACTGAGATCCTAATCCAGAAGCATAAAAGGACATGGAGAACGATTGAGACAAAAGGAATGGAAAAGAGTGAAATAATCGGGGGAGCTGTGGATTGGAAATGGAAGGTGTTCATCAGGACAGTCTATAATTAGCAACAGTTGACATGGAAAACTCTGATCAATTGGATGTGTTTCATCCCAACATCACCAAACTCCATCTTCATGGAGCAAGACCAAAGAGTAATGTTTGGAACTGAAAGACACAACCCTTGTGGATGAATCAAAGATGACGACGTGACCCTGAAGCTATGGGAATATGAAAATAGGCATCTGTCACATTGAACTTGGTCATCCAAAGTCTCGGGGAAAAAAACCCTCAAAAAAGAGGTAGGATTTCATGGTGAAGCAGGGTGTCTCCAGAAAGGTATTCAGCCAGGAGTGATCTATGACGAGTCTCCAATCTCCCATCTTTTTAGGGACAACAAACAGATAGGAGTAAAATCCCACATGAGTGGGCACTACCCATTCGATAGAGCCATTGTGTAGAAAGCCTCAAACCGTGAGACAACTGGATGAAGCATGATTCCAAGGAGGAGGGAATGAAATCTGGAGAAAAGGATAGTGGGAGAGGTAACCAGAATTGAAGGCAAAACCTCTGACAGTCACCTATAAAGCTGACCTCTAGAGGAACAGGAATGGGAAAATCGAGGGTAAGGATGGAAATGACTGGAGTAGGGTAAGGGACGGGGAGAGGAAGAAGGGGCAGAGGGGAACCCGGACCAGTGAAGATTGGGCGATAACAGTAGTACAAGACAAATGAGAGGCCAGGGATGACAAGGATGAAAGCAGCCTTGTCACAATGACTCAGAATGACGCCCAAAAAACGTTTGGCAAAGAAACAAGGCCTGACAAAGATCCCTCAGAGAAGAAAGGGGAGATGAACCCCTTCAAGAAATACATCCCTCCCCAGCAAATCCAAAGAGCATAATAACCAGGTGTTGAGAAACCTAACCCCATCATCTGCTACAGTAAAATTTAAATTCATATAGTAAAAGAAACTTTCAAAAACAAGACTAAATGAAATATCAAAATCAAATACCAAAGTCAAAATATTAGGTTTAAATGGCGAAAGACTGTTAAGCAATTACAAATGAAATAGCAGGAGTCACATGGACAACAAATTAAACACACGTCAAGACACTGTAATTGCAGTCGAGAAAGTGAGGATTGTATTAGAATAGTATAGATGGCATAATATGATTGGTGGAGGGTAGCCACATGATCACCACATGTTCTGCAATGGCACAAAAATGAAGGGGTATAAAAGAACTAGTATGCTGTTAGTGATAAAATTTTTAGCAAGGCTTAGACGGCAAACCAAGATCCAGATAGTTTTAGGTGAGAGGGGGTAGTAACATTTCAGAATTGGCTATTTTCAATAAAAGTTAGAAACATGTTTGGCTCAAATACTCAATTTGAAATAAAGCATGAAGGGGTATAAAAGAACTGGTATGCTGTTAGTGATAAAAGTTTGAGCAAGGCTTAGAGGGCAAACCAAAATAACAAAGCAGTATTTTAACTCGTTTGTTTCAATTAACATATTTTCTTTTACCATTAAAAACTTTATTGTTTTGAAAAAAAAAAACTTAAAATTCATAGCTCTGTATTGTGAAAGCTTAAAACCATAACTACTTGTTCCCACCTTCCACTGAATGTGAATAACTTGAACATTAAAATTAAGTGTTTATTAAACTTAACAAAATCACTAGATAGTGTACCTTTATAGATATTCTCATTATTTCCTTATCTATCAATACTGAACAAATTAACCCATTTTATGAAAATTTACTGATTTGCAGCCTAATGCACTTCAATATAAAAAAAACAAGAAGAAGAATATTCGATAAATGCAGTAGATTCTTAGTCTTAAGACATGCTACATTTTCAAGATTAGTGCTAAACAGTTATCAGTAAGCCTAATGCACAAAAAATTTATAACTGTATTAAACATTTTATTATAAAAGATGCTTTATTGATAACGTGAAAATATATCCCAGCTTCTTTTGGAATTAGTGTTTAAGCAAGTTTAGAAATGGTTTGAATGAGTAATGATGAAAACATTTTTACAAGTTTAACAAAATGTCAAATGTACAACGTTTCAACAAGGTTTTGTCATTATCAAGTACAAATACTTTACCTAAACAGGTGATTAAATATACAGTATGAAACAATGAAGTCAATGACCAGAGACTGCTTAATGGCTTAGTAAAAGTATCTTGGTGCCCCAGGGTGCTGGTTTAGAGTGGGGCTGTGTTGTTCAGTTGAAATGACTCCTCTGATTTTATGTATTATGTTTGGTTCTTTGTTAGTCTCTAAATTTTATTAATCTCAAAATGGATTCCACATCATGAAATTAGTGTTTAAACAGCTGTGAACAGAAAAAAAAAACTACCAAATAATTTTTGGTTTTGTGGCTGATTCTCATAAATAAACCAAAACTTTTATTTATTCAAACCATCAGTATTTCAAAGAAATTATCAAGAGTATATATATATATATACACACACACCATATTTTAAACATGAATGTTCTAATGTTCATTTTCGAGTTCATAAGAAACAGAAAGTAAGTTCCTAATATTCTACATGTATTGATAAGACAATAAAACCATTTCATCAATGTTTTATTTATATATTTTCAGACTTCTAAAACTTGTACTGTCCTATTATACCTGTTTCTTATCTTACAGATTATTCAACACAGAATTTCAGCCAATATATAGATTGTGAACAATTTAGGTTTTTTGTATTTAAGACAGATCAAACACCTACCTCAGCCAAATGTGAAAGCAAAATTATGGCTGCTTTTACGATAATATCTTTCTTTCCAGAACGTTCTTCACTGTACAGCTCCTCTGATATCTGAAATTGTAAAGTTTTATAAAATACCAAAGTTTCAATAAAATTGAACAAAACTTTAACATGAACTTACTAGCCTAAGGATAATACCAACTGTCAAAAAAACAACAACATTATTTTCCATAAAGAAACAAATACAACAATTTAACAACAACATTTTCCATAAAGAAACAAGTACAACAATTTAACAACATTATTTTCTATAAAGAAACAAGTACAACAATTTAACAACATTATTTTCCATAAAGAAACAAATACAACAACTTAACAACAACATTATTTTCCAAAAGAAACAAGTACAATAATTTAACAATAACATTATTTTCCATAAAGAAACAAGTACAACAATTTAACAACATTATTTTCCATAAAGAAACAAATACAACAACTTAAGAACAACATTATTTTCCATAAAGAAACAAATACAACTTAACAACATTATTTTCCATAAAGAAACAAATACAACAACTTAACAACAACATTATTTTCCATAAAGAAACAAGTACAACAATTTAACAACATTATTTTCCATAAAGAAACAAATACAACAACTTAACAACAACATTATTTCCCATAAAGAAACAAGTACAACAATTTAACAACATTATTTTCCATAAAGAAACAAATACAACAATTTTATACTCATTAAGCATATAAAAAAACTATTTTCACCAAAATTATCAATCCAACTTTTCTGCCCATATAGTACTCATTCTTAAGACTTTTTTTTTTAACTACAAACTGCATATAAGCAGAAATTTCTTTTATAACACATTAGAGAAAACTTATATGTATAAACTGACAATATTGTGTGTCTTGAAGTTTTAGTCAATGAGACATTTAGAAACAAATCAAGATCCTGAGTTCATCTTAATATATAATCTGGACTATATAATATAAAGCTTTCTTAATATGAAAGAAACTCACGTATTTCACAATATCCTGTAAATTGTTCTTCACAGATACATCTCTTATTGCTAGTTTAATCAAACTGTTAATGAAATGACTGTTCCAGGTCCTCAGAGTATCAAGCATTGAACTATTTTTTTCCTGTTCAAAATTATATAAAGCATATTATCAGTGTTACGTTTTTTTATTTTCAAAAGGTAATTCATTCTTAACTTCTCCTTTCTAATATTCAGTATATTTCTAAAAATGAACAGTGAGAATTTTAAATGAAAAATATCATTTGTGAAATTATACCATTTCAATATGTTATAAAAATAAACCTGAAATTCACATAATTGTTTTTCTCAAGTCAATGAGAATAAATATTCCCAATATGTATATTTATTAAAATTAAAGTAACATCAAACAACAGGAACTTTACCTTGTCTATGATGACAGCCAAACTGTCAAGTACACATGTCAAAAGAGGAACTGGTTCAACAAAGGGAAAGAGCCACACACTTCGAACTCCTGCTAAAATACTGACAAAAGCTACACATATTTCTATAGTAATTTCACACACATCTCCATGGAACCTGCCAGTCATCAAACAGTCTCGCACAGAAAACAGAAGAGTGGTGAGTCCAAGCAAACATCTAATTTGGTTTCCAGGAAATAAGGACTCTAGTGGCAAACAGCTATGGACCTAAGACAAAAAGTTTACATGCACTTATTGTCACAAATGTAAATTTATGGGGATTAAAACAAAGGGAAAATGTTAACTTACAATTATAGTATTATAAATTATAAAATCTTAATCAATGTGTACAGTACAACTGAATAAAAATTGATAATATTTTGATAACTAGCCTTATTTTAAATACATTATGATTATTTTTCATTAGTATAAAATCCAAAACTACCAGTACATTAACAGCCACTGGAATAAATCTGGTGTTATTAACTAAAATATTAAAATAATTCCTATAAAAACAAGTTAACTGCAATTCTGTCAAAACTATTTATTACAAAGATTTCTCAATACAATACTGCCTCATTATAATGCCATTGGTTATAATTCTTTCTTGGATATAATGCTGTGGTGGCTTGGCTCCCAAAAATTTAAAATCACCTGCTGCTTAGCTCATTACTACATGGCTTCAGAGGCTAAAGTCATTACACTCTGTCACAAATTAAAGGAAAAAAAGCAGGAAGTCTCAAGTGCAAAGCCCAGAGGTGTGAATATCAAGTTCACATCTGAACTTGATATTGGGATGTTGGGAATTAAGGTAAAAAAAGGAATTTGGAAATGTGACTCAACTGTTGAAATAAAAAGGTGTTTGTTAGTGATAGAGCATTTGTAAAGGACAGGCTTAAAATCACACGAGCAGTTTTACAGCCACTTGCATTCATGGTAACAAAGAAAACTATTGGACCCAGCAGGGATTCCACCTGTCTGGTCATAAATGATGTCATCAAAGTGAAAATGGTTTAACTTTGTGGAGAGGGCAAGAAGTTCCAAGAATTGTTTACAGATGAAACCAAGAAACAGCTCAATGTCAGAAGGAAATAGAGATGTCATATTGTTAATTGCAGCAGGTATAGAGTAGTGTTATGCCTGCTCACTTTTGGCATAATTTTCATTATCCAATGAAAATGCTGACTGTTTTAATCTTATGTTATTTTACCTTATCTATGTTCTTCTTATATCTATTTTCCCTACGTAAATAACAGTTGTTTTATTTAACTTGTTGCTTTAGTAGTCTGTTGAATCCATACTTGTTCAGCATGAGTGCCTTCTTGACTAATTGGTTATAACTCTCCCACCACCTTTGTTGCTCTTGGGTGCACACGGCTCCCGATGGTAGTGTTATAACGAGGCAGTACTGTAATAATATATTTAAATAAAATCTATTTGTTTTCCTCTTAATTCTACACTTTTACATTTATTCTTCATTAAAATATTCTTAAAACAGTAAGAAACAGCTTTGATTTCATCTAAGTATATAAAAGAGCAAAGAAAACTGGGAAAAGTAAATAAAGAAATTACTTTTAACAACATAAGGATTTTTTCAAGTTTTATTTTCCTTTTAGAATGAACCTTAAGATTCATCCACTGGTTTAGAATGCAAGCAGCCTCTTGCACTTCTAACCACATGTTATTGTAAGATTCCATTCCTTTGCTGACATTTGTGACCTTTGGTGTTGTGTTAGCAAACTCTGACCACAACTTGGATTTTCCAGAAAGATGGGTAAACAGTTTCTCAGTCAAGCCATCACTCCTTTGTTCATCATTTTTTCTGTTTGAAATAATTAAATGAAAAAATATTAATTGCAATCTTTCTGCTGTAAGCTTACCATCTAATAAACGAGATAAAAGTTGTGTCCTAATTATGCCAGATGTGTAAGTCTTTGGTAAATAACACAATACTTAATAATTTGTAGAAACTGAAAAAAAAAAGTAAGGTAATCTTGTTTCCTTTTGTACATAAACATAGGTATAAATACTTAAATGAAACTGTACATTTTAAAATCTATTATAGGATTTTCTTACCTAAAGTCAGAAACATGGTAATATAAAAAGAGATGGGCAACTTTGAGGAATTACAGGTCTATAAAATCCAATAAAAAGTTTTGAAGGACCAAATCTTTGTTTTAATAGGCTGCATAATAGAATTATTCCATTCATAAATAGATTGGCTAATGTGTAGTACATCAATCACTTGAAATGAGGCATTAACAACTAAAGACTAGAAACCTTCTGTGATTGACAAAACTTTTAAACATGCACTGTAGAAACATACCAAGATTTATAACATAAGTTGTTTTTCCTCACAAATTATTAATACATTTCAATCTAAAAGCATCAAGGAATTTATTAAATTTATAATTTTAGTATTATGCAGTTCAAAGTGTGTTGAAATACATCTACAAATATTTTTTTATAAATATTTAAATGTTATACAGAAATGAAACACTTTGATTGAGTAGTACTGCTACTTATGGAGTTAATATGCCTACCTACCAACAGTTGGAGTGCCAAATAAAAATTGTCAAGAAGGCTAGATACAACCTCCGCGGTGCCAGTTGCCCATCCCTGATATAGAGAATAGTTTAATTGTTGTTAAGCTCTAAGCTATACAATTGGACATAAATGCCACCACCAAGTGCCATGACCCACTCATTTTTTATTGTGGAAAGGCTAATATATATATAATTTTCTCCTCTACCACATTTACAATACAAAAAGACAATATATATATATATAGTGTTATTATTGTATTTTTTAATGATCACTGTGTTATTTGAATCAATAATGAAAAGTGAAGGGATCTATTTGGAAAATGTTAAAGGTAGTTTATATATATATATATATAT